ACTATTGATTTGGACTTTCGGATCTTTAACATTCAGTGTTCAGCTTCTTGGAAACATCATAGCTGGTTCTAATACTAGTTTATAAAAAAAAGGGTGAAAACAAAAGTGAGGATGGAAAACTAAGTAAAACTAAGCACAACAAAATATTTGATTTAATAAGATTGACTCAATTATTTCTATGCTTACATGTAGGAAAAAATTGCACTAATTGAAATGAGCATTGTTTAAAATTGCGCAATATGAGGCTCATTCCTTGCCCGCCTCAGCTCAATTCTAGTGAATTACACCTCAAACGCCTCAAGGCTTAACGCCTCAAGGCTTAACGCCTCAAGGCTTAACGCCTCAAGCTTTTTTTAATGAGACCTCCTTGAGGTGTGTTTCTCCTCCCTAGCGTGAGGCAAGGTTTATTACCTAAATCCTATACTAAAGCCCCTAACAAATCACACCTTCATACAACACCAAGTCATAAAAAAAAAAGAAAAAAAAAAAGAAAAAGAAAAAAGTCATAAAACCTTACTCTCGATTTCCTTGACCTCTAGCCCGTCGTCTTTGCCGCAGTCACCACCATCGTAGCTGCCGCAGGGGATCACTTGAAAGCCGTACACTACCACCAGTTCCTCTAAAAATTTTAGAGTATTAATTTCATTTTTATGTTGATGACAAATATTTATGAAAGAGGAAGATAACTAAAATAAATGAATAAGAACTAGATTGGAATGCATTGGACTTCACATGATGAGGTAGTGGAGTGATGTAGAACGGGAGGGGCTAGCCATGATTAAAATTTGAATTTTGAACACCTTCCAATAAGGAAAGTTATAATTGCTTGGTTTGAAACTTGGAGGGAAAGGGAAAAGGGGAAGGTGATTGAGTGATTTAAAACTTGAATTTCAAATGGGGATGGAAAGAAAAATTATCCCTTTAATTAAGAATGAATTAAGGCTCCAAGAGGGGGGGAATTAATGTGAATTAAGTGGATTGGAGAGAGAGGGGAGGGATGGGTTAATAGGCCAGCGACATTAAGTAGAGCTTAGGGAATTACTTGGGAATTAATGGCAGCACATGGGAAGAGGAGTGGGCAGGCTAGGGATTAGGGAAAAGTAATTAAGGGAAGTTTGACCAATTAATTACAAACTTTGAATTGTAATTAATTGTGCATGGGTAAGTGGGGGAATTAATATTTGGCTTTGGAAGATGAAAAGTTGAAACTTATTCCAAACGCACCCTTAATGAGAGTTGTTTGAATTGATTTCCACATTAATTAATGAAGCTGAATTGATTTCCACAAATTAAGTTTCAACTCTCATTAAGGTGGAAAGGTGGTTTAAAAATCCCACAAATAAAATGAAAATCTGAATTGATTTCCACATTAATTATGCTTGGGAATACCAAGGGTTCAAGTTCATTTAATGTTAGAATATTAAGGGTCACAAAAGAAGATGAAAGGGCATTTGTTGTTTGTGGTGAGGCAGAATTTTGTGGACTGTAGGGGCTGCCAGTGGAGGTGGGAGACGCTCGGCTAGTGCAGGAGATGGGGGTGGCCAAAGGAGGGGAGAGAAGTGTCTAAGTTTGATGAATGTAGGAAGAAGTGTCTAGGTTCAATGATTGTATGTAGAATTGTCTATGTTCGATGAATGTAAGAAGAGGTGTCTAGGTTTGATGAATGTAGGAATTTTGAATTTATTCTCAATCAATTTCAGATTTAATCTTTCCTTAATTGATGGAAGACTTTTCAAAATTAAAACAAATCCAAATAGGAAAGAAGGAAACTAAGATGAGAGGGCTAAGGGAAGTGGTAGCTTGGTGGAGAAGGTGGTGGTTTGGTGGGATTTTAGGGTGGAGATGGGGAGGAGACCGATGGTTGGAAGAAGGGATGTGGTGGTTGACAGTTGAAAAGGAAAGGGGGTGGGTGGCCAGTGGTGGGGAAGAGGATAGGTGGTAGAAAGCCGGTGGCTAGGGGAAGATTTAGCCGGCGGTTAAAGGAGGAGGTGAGGGATTAGAGAAAGAAAACAAACCTTGAGCCCAATCACTTCTTGCGGCTGACGGTGATGCATTTCCCTTCACCAAGGGACTTCAACCACAAGCCCGGACACATCCTGCTGTTAGTGGGTATTTCATTGTCCTCACATAGGGATTTCCACTCTCCTAAGAACTCCCATAGCTCTCAAGAACAAAGTGTAGAAACAATTTTTTTATTAATCCTTCATTTAATACAAGAGCAAGGGCCTCTATATATATGCCTTAAAAGAAATTAAAAGACAACTTTGCCCTTTGGACTTATTTAAGATAAGACCCTTAAGTAAGGGTAAAAATGAAAAATGCATAATTAAATGAAAAATATAATTAATAAACTAAGATAAAAATGGAGGGATCTCGTCCGTCGATCTTCATCTCTTCCTTTGATTAATGTCCACCGTCGGATGTCCGCTTCATGGAGAGACCAATTTGTTATGACGACGACTCAAATAAAGACCCCTTAGTGTTGACAGTGCAGATGATTTCTGAGTTGTCGCCAACTATTTTAGCTTCTTTTAGAAATTAAATATGGATGAGTGGGGAACTGAGAATGAAGGAATTTGGAGTTGAACTTGATGTTATATGATAGTTTTATATAATTTCTATATTTAATATTTTTTTGCTCTTATAATGTTTGGATTTCAATTCTATTTCACTCAATTTATCATTTGTCACTTTACGACTTGTGTAATTTTTTGTTTCATATGTATACTAATTTGTTACTTTATGGTTCAATAGAAAGTTAATATTTGATCTTTTAACATATATTTGGGTATTATATAAAAAATCACATTTAACTTTTATATTTACTTTATGCATTTTTATTTATTTTGAGGATTATGCCTCAAAACACCTTGAGGCTTACGCCTCGCGTCACGAACAAAATACACCTCAATACTCGATAGTGTAATTTTAGATCTTGGAAAGGAGTATGTCATATTTTTCTCTTCCACAATGCCCTCAAAGTTTTGGGAGAAGCATAATAAATGACCAAGCATTGGAAGAGCTGATATGAAAAAAAAAATTGTTTTGTATTCCTATTCATAACAAGTGGATTTTTTTGCACCACCACGCATACACTTCTGTTGCGAAATTTCATGGCCATTAAGAAAAAAAATCTAACAAATTTTCTCTAGTATCTTGCCCCTTATCTGCCTTTCTCTCTCCTCTTATTATTATTTATTTTCTCAGCCCCTCATTTAAAGGAGAATTTAACTCTTAACATGACACAATGGAGAAAAAAGATTCATATAGCCGACTCTACATAGTGGAATAAAACTTGTTGTTGTTGTTGTAGTTTATTGTTCCGACCGTATATATTTATGATAGGATGGTAAATTTGATGGTGATCATGTGTGAAGCGAAAAACTGGAATATATATTTTTATTAAGCTAATTCAAAATAGCAGAAATAGCTCTTTGTAGGTTTTTTGGAGATCGTATGTGAAACAAAAGTCTAGAATTTTTTTTTTCTCCTTTGAAGCTATCAAAATAACTGAAATTGCACCAAGTATATTGTTATTTTCTAAGAATTGGTTAATTATATTTTTACTTCTTAGGAAGGGAAAATGAGCTCCATAAAATTAACGCTCTTTAGTTTATCATTGGTAGTTATTATGCTGTTTGATTTCACAAATTGGCTTAGGGTCAATTTGGGGCAATTTTTTTATTATATTGTTTTTCATACTATGATCACCTATTTATTTGACTACTGTTTTCTTATTATGTTTTAGAAATTTTTATGGTGAGAAGAAGCTTTTTACAAACTGATATGTTAGTGTAGTATTTGTGAGAAAGCTAGTGATGAATTTGAAAAACAGAAAAACATTATAATAACAACAATTGATTGGAATTTTTTTTCTCTATAATAATTTTATAACTACTTTTATAAATAGCTACAGCTACCCATGGATCCTTAGTTATAGCTTATGCATCCTGTACAGCTTATAGTTGATTCTGTGTTATGCAGTTTCAATAATTTTGCTGCTTTTGTAGTATATGTAATCTTTTTGATGTCAGAGCTGGATTTGTTGGTTACTCGGCACTCATTCCAGAATGAATGCTGACAAAAAGTTTTATTCTGGTTTCGTTTGAGATGGCTTTCTTACTGCTTCTTAAAGCTGTTTTCTATTTAAAAAAAATTAATTTTTTTACTAAAAAATAGGTTTAAGAAACAATAAGAAAGTCGTCCCCAACGAAGCCTTAATTCGACTTCCTTTGGGACAACTTTATTACAGCTTTTTAAAACAGTTTTTTTTTCTTACAATTTTTTTTTTTTTTGAGTTATAAATTTATGTACTAAAAAGTTACTTTAAAGAATAATAAAGAAGCTGTTCCGAAAGAAGCCTTAAATTTATAGTAAAACTTCCTAATCTTTTTTCTTAAAAGGATAGAATTATAACCGAAAAAAAATCAAGAGGTAAAGGATTCCATTTGTGTCATGAATTACGTCTACCACCAGCTTCATCTTTGTACGCGTTCCTTGTATAAATGCTCAGAGCATTCTACAGTTCCCTTTCTATTTTTGCCAGATTAGTTGTCAGGGAGATGACTTATGACCTGAATTATATAATCCTTCATCCGTTTGACCTCCTCCCTTAAACAGGTGAAAATGCCATGACTTTGGCTTTTATTTGGTTTTTTTTTTCCTAAATCAAAAGCAATTTTGATTTGCATGAAATAATGCTTATGATTTATCATTTGTGCATGCACCATCTATGTGCTAAGGCACTCGCATTTCTACCATGATAATTTTATTTCATATTACATTGCAAAATACAACATCCATGTAGTTGTATGAAATGGAGCTTCAGGTTTCGTTTGTGACTTTTTTACTGCTTCTTAAATAAGCTTTTTAGTACAATATTGTACTAAAAATTTACTTTAAGCAGCAGTAAGAAAGCTGTCCCAAACGAAGCCTTAATGTTAATAAGATATATGGTTCTCTCAATGCCAACTAATACCGATCTTTTCTTCGCCGCCCAGGTGCACCGCAAGCTCTCCTGCAGAGCTGCCTCACATTTGGAGCATTCTCCTGCATTATGGAAGGCCTCAACAAGCAACAGCCAGCATTAGCTCTCCCCTCTTCTGCATACAAGGAGAATACCAATGGCCCTCTGAATGTTCTTCCTCCCTTCACTCTCCCCCTTCCAGTGGTTGAAGGCTTCTCTTCATTCTGCAAATCTCTACCCAGATCCAGGTTTTCTTCCTTTCCTTGATTCCCAATGTACCAAAATTTTTTATTATGAATTTTTTGTGAAGGTGCAGAGGAAATAATTAAAATTTTATTCTTGTTTTGTGCCTTCCATAGTCCTCATGCTTGTGTTGTAGCTTTGGTAAAAAAAAATAAATTTGTTTGAAGTTTTTTTTTTTAATCTAATCATAGAAGGGCTTCTCAACAAGTAGTAAAAGAAAGTTCTGTGGTAGGTACAAATTAGTAAAGATTGAAGGAACCACCACAAAAAAATATGCCAAGGTTATTGAAATCATTTATGGATCTTTAGTTAGGCTAAGAGCTTTTTTTTGTTATGAATTTCCTTTTACTCAAAGTTAGATTTATCTTAAAGTTCAATATTTTTTTTCTCCTCCTTTGAAAAAGTAAAGTTTGCTTGTCTATGGAATGCAACATTTTTTGGGTTTAGGTTTCATTTGGAATATTTTTTTTGCGTTTTAAAACAGCTTTTCATATAAAACTTTATATTAAAAAGCTGCTTTTGAAAATAATAAAAAAGCTATATCAAACAAAACCCAAAGTCTTTCAATGTTGAGTAGATAAGGGTTTTCTTCCTTCATATAAAGTATATAAAGAGCAATCTTCTAGGATTGATTGAAGATTCCAATTACTTTCAAATTTATAATAATTGTGAAAAGAATAAAAGATAAATGGGTTCTTTTAAGACTTGCAATTGTATATTAAACTTGCTTTGAAAAATAATTAAGAGCATTATAGATTTTTTTAAGAAAATAAAAATTTTAATAGTCACTATATTCTAATAAATTTATTTGTGAGAGTTTTTATCATTATTTAAAATTAAAAAATGATAAGAAAATTTTAGCCAAATAACAATTTAATTGCTTAAAATAAAGCTATTAAAAATTATCCCAAACATGTAAAAATCATATAGGTTTTTTATGTTCATGTTGATGGAAGCATGTTGCATGAAGCTTACCATGATGAGAATAGTTTTTCTTTGAAGATTCATTTTTTGTGATAAGAAAAGTGATTTTTTTAATATTTTAAGAAGTAATTAATGTATGATTATGTCCTAATTTGACTATTAAGAGATTATAGTTAAAAATTGATTATCTTAGTTGTACTATTTTTTGTATTGTTAATATTGGTTGTATTGATAATAATTGATATTGTGATCTTAGAGAACTCTTAATAGTCTCTTTCAATTTTGTTTTTTTGGTTGATTTCAAATGAAGGAAACAAATTGCAAAGGACCATTGCATCTTTTTTTCTTTTTTTGAGCAATAAAGTTGTTCTTAATAGTAATTGATTGCAACTTATGATTAATGCATGTGATAGAAGATTCTTTAGAGAAATAATTGGTTGGGTTGGTAGTAATTTTTTATAAAGATGATTATAAATTTATTATAAGAAAAGTAATTTTTTAAAAGTAGTTTTTAGTACAAATTTTTTTTTGAAAGCAGCAAGAAAAGAATACTTAAACAGGAATTTGATTGCGGTATGAAAAGAAAACTAATAGAAAAGATGTCACAAACAAACCCTAAGTGTAGAGAGCTTCACTTGAACAATAATTATGTTAGAAATATTCTTAAGAAAATTAAGAAAATCTTTCTATTTTTAAATTTGGGATAGTTTTCTACGTGTTTAATATTTTCATTAATATCATCGGTTTTTGTATTTTAATTCAAATCTTAGGTGAATTTTGTGCATATTAAAAAAAAAGTAAGAGATTAATATTTTGTTTGGGATAGTTTTCTATGTGCTTTTTAAAACAATTTTTTTAATACAAAAAATTTTAACTATAATTTTTTGTACTTTAAGGCTTTGTTTGGGACAATATTTTTATTGCTATCTAAAATAGCTTTCTAGTATAAAAATGTTTAATTTAAGAAATTTTTGTACTAAAAAGTTATTTTAGAAAGTAGAAAGAAAGTTGTCTCAACTGAAGTCTAATATTTTTTTTGAGTTAGCTTTTTTAATGCTTTTAAAAATAGTTTTCTAGTACAAAAGTTTTCTAAAAATTTTTATACTAAAAACTGCTTTAAAAATATTAAGAATGTATTCCCAAATAAATCCTAAATCTATTTATGAAAATAATAAGAAAGTTGTCTAAGGCTTCGTTTGAAACGGCTTTTTTACTGCTTCTTAAAACAGATTTTTCGTACAAAAAACTATAATTTTTTACCTAAAAAATTATTTTTAAAAACAGTAAAAAAGTCATCCCAAATGAAACATAAATGAAGCCTTAATGCAATTATAAAACTCTATACCTCCTCTCAAAGTTAGTTGTGCTCAAAACTTAAAATATATATTACTCGATTTTCAAACTACAATAATTTTCATGTTAAAGGCATTAGTTACATGAAGAATTTATCTCCAAAATCCCACAAATTTTTTTCATTTTCCAAGTTTTGTTAGTGATTCAACTAAGTACTAATGACTAATATTGGAAAGAGAAATATCAAATGTTGCAAAGTATTTGTATATATTTTTCAATGGGTCAAATGAACCGTTAATTTTGACCAAATTATTAAATATTTCAATAGTTTTTAGAAGAAAAAAATGGGAAAAATCACTATCAATAATTAAATGAGATCAATATGAGTCTATTTAAATGGTTCTTTTGCTAAGATCATATACAGGCTTAGAAAATTTAAAAATGTACTAAAAAATGATTCAATGTAATTAAAAAAAATGAAAAATCAATTTTTGACCGGTGAAATTTGACAAATTTCAAACTTTATGGGGAAATTTGAAGAATCGCAAGAGTTCTTTATATTGCATAATTATAGGGACCTTTTATAATGATGTTCAAAACTTTAGATGAGTTTTCCTCCAAAAACCACTCTCTCCCTCTCCCTCGAGATATTATTAGGTGCGGAGTGCGGACGAGGAGAACTGTCTGCACAAGCATTGGGTACCGAGCGGTACCCGCACTCGGTACTGCTGGGTACTGCTAGTTAGATACCCAGTGCTTATGCGGACGGTGCGCACTCCGCTCCTAATAATTTTTCCTCTCCCGCTCCCTCTTCCTCTCCCATCTTCCTCCTCAAGATATCCCAACAATTATGTATATGATAATGAATGTATTTCATTTCATATAGTTAGAAAAAAGTGTATGCATTCAAAATCACCAATCAAACTTGATCTTTCCGAAAACTTGTGGTGCAGATTGGGCTGTGCCAAATTATCTTTTTAGAAATTTATACCAATTAAGAAAAATTCACACACACATTACATACATGAGTTTCAAACATAAGGCCTCTTGGTTGATAGTCAAAGCTCTCAATTAACAGATCAAGATGAGTTGTGTGGCTAGTTGCTAAATCATTTGACTAACCTGAGCTGCTACATTAGTTATCATCTCAATGAAGCTAGTAGCATTGGGAGTTGGATTTCAGTATTTCTAACATTTTGAGTAGCAACACGACAATCACTGGCAGATTCGAAGCCTTTAGGAATATTTATGACCTCCTTAGGGCATCTTCAATCGAACCAAACATCATTCACCTATTGACTGTTTGCAATTGCTGCGAGTCTCCACCCGAACATCAATCAAAATCGCATTTTGTGTTTTCTCTCCGCTTTGAGTTGTGCGTCGTCAATATTGACGTCGCACTATTCAAAAAGAGAAAATAGCATTCGATTTGTCATTCGGTTGAACACTTGTGGCCAGTGTAAACAGGAGAATGTCGTTTGGTTGGAGATGACCTTAGTAGCTCTCGAGTCATCATAAGTGCCTAGCACCTTTTTTTATCATTCCATATAAATTAAAAGGGGTTTTTACATACCTAACATTTAAAACTACTATATTTACTTATCTAACACTCAAACATTACTATTTACTTTTCTACCACCTAAAAATCCCTACACCCTTCAAATATAGCACTCCGTAACCTACCGTCAAATACCGCTCTGGATCCTGTCTTTTCGAAACACCTGCTTCGCCTTCATCGCATCTTCCTCCCTCGGTCGGCTTTCAAGTCGGCTCATCGTGTTGTTCACGAAA